GACGATGTATGTACGCACTATTATGTGTCGAACATATTTTCATGAACATTTACGTGTCGTGTGAACGTCGTTCCAACGTGACATATACGATCAAAATGACGATGTGTGTATTCATTTTCGTGTTTACATATTTTCATGAACATTTACGTGTCGTGTGATCGTTGTACTGCGTATATTTACGAGAATTTTCAAAGGTATTTTACGTATTTATAATTTATTATAGGAGAGGGATGAACTTTCGAGCGCGTTGGACGTTTAACGTGTGTTGTTATGCGTGTGTATATTTCACGCACAATACGCGACGTCTTAAAATGCGAAAGCGACGTTGCATAAATAAATTTATCTTCGTAAGAAGAATTTTGTGCAACGTGAACGTATTACGTCGTGGAATTGCTCTTATTAACAAAATGTAAGATTGTAAAACCGCGTTCGTAACTCTACCGCACGCATATACCGAAACGCACACGTCTCGTATCAGAGATATATATATTCCGTATTGTAGCGCGATATGTTAAATCATATCGTGTGTTTATACGTTTAATTGTAAAAACGCAACTCATAACGTTGTAAGTAGTACAATTAAAGTGCACGGTCGTCGTGTCCGAGATAAATGAAATTCGAAGACATGTAAAGACGTCTGATCTGTGCTTGTACTTGAACTTACACATCTTGAATCGTTGCGTACGCGATTTAAAAACGTTTTTTAAACACACGTATATATGAACACAATACGCGCTCGCTCAGTCTTCGACGATGCAGCAATCGGTTTATATAACGTATCTATAAAGAGAAGGACGTCCGTTGTAATCGGTGTTAGTGTAGTTAAGTTTACGATTGGTTTTATCGAAAAGTTTTGCGAAAAGAGCATATAAGTACGCGAGTAATTTGTTCTATATATATATTTCAATCAATCGACCTCAGATCAGGTGAGACTACCCGCTGAATTTAAGCATATTAATAAGCGGAGGAAAAGAAACTAACTAGGATTCCCTTAGTAGCTGCGAGCGAACAGGGAAAAGCCCAGCACCGAATCCCGTGGCCGATATCGACCACCGGGAAATGTGGTGTTAGGGAGGATCCGTTATCCCGAGATCGTGCGGCGTGTCCAAGTCCTTCTTGAACGGGGCCACAGCCCATAGAGGGTGCCAGGCCCGTAGCGACCGTTGCCGATTGCGGGAGGATCTCTCCTCAGAGTCGGGTTGCTTGAGAGTGCAGCCCTAAGTGGGTGGTAAACTCCATCTAAGGCTAAATATGACCACGAGACCGATAGCGAACAAGTACCGTGAGGGAAAGTTGAAAAGCACTTTGAAGAGAGAGTTCAAGAGTACGTGAAACCGTTCAGGGGTAAACCTGAGAAACCCGAAAGATCGAAAGAGGAAATTCATTCGCGTTTCGACATAGTCGGAGTCTGATGATTGTGTGACGGATGGCATTCGTGTCGTCTGCGCCTTTTGTTTTTCTTGCCGGCGTCGAACGCGTGCACTTTTCCTCTAGTAGGACGTCGCGATTCGTTGAGCGTTTGTCTAAGAGCCGAAGTGGAGCCCGCGTAACGTTTTCGTTTATGCGAACCTTTGGATTTCCGGCAAACACGCTCGACGGTAGACAGAAGGCGCGGGGCCGCTATTTAGTTAGCGTTCGGCCCGTAGCAAGCACGTTCTGTGTTTGACGGCGATCGGACTTGTCCGATTCTGTCCCGGAGCGACTGTTGGTTACGGTGTTTCTCGAACAGACCTCGTTGTAACGCCGATCTGCGACGCTATAGCTTTGGGTACTTTCAGGACCCGTCTTGAAACACGGACCAAGGAGTCTAGCATGTGCGCGAGTCATTGGGATATTACTAAACCTAAAGGCGAAATGAAAGTAAAGGTTTGCCTCGCGTAAACCGAGGGGGGATGAGTGGTTTGCCCTTAAAGTGGCCGCTCCGCACCCCCGGGGCGTTTCATTCTCATTGCGAGAAGAGGCGCACCAAGAGCGTACACGCTGGGACCCGAAAGATGGTGAACTATGCCTGGTCAGGACGAAGTCAGGGGAAACCCTGATGGAGGTCCGTAGCGATTCTGACGTGCAAATCGATCGTCGGAACTTGGTATAGGGGCGAAAGACCAATCGAACCATCTAGTAGCTGGTTCCCTCCGAAGTTTCCCTCAGGATAGCTGGCGCTCGTTGCGTACGAGTTTCATCCGGTAAAGCGAATGATTAGAGGCATTGGGGTCGAAACGACCTCAACCTATTCTCAAACTTTAAATGGGTGAGATCTCCGGCTTGCTCGAACGATTGAAGCCGCGAGACTCGAATCAGAGTGCCAAGTGGGCCATTTTTGGTAAGCAGAACTGGCGCTGTGGGATGAACCAAACGTCGAGTTAAAGCGCCTAAATCGACGCTTATGGGATACCATGAAAGGCGTTGGTAACTTAAGACAGCAGGACGGTGGCCATGGAAGTCGGAATCCGCCAAGGAGTGTGTAACAACTCACCTGCCGAAGTTACTAGCCCTGAAAATGGATGGCGCTGAAGCGTCGTGCTTATACTCGACCGTCAGCGGCAAGTGCGGTAATGTTTAGCTTTCGGGTTAAACGACCATGAAGCTCTGACGAGTAGGAGGGTCGCGGCGGTGTGCGCAGAAGGGCTGGCCGTGAGGCCGTCTGGAGCCGCCGTCGGTGCAGATCTTGGTGGTAGTAGCAAATACTCCAGCGAGGCCCTGGAGGACTGACGTGGAGAAGGGTTTCGTGTGAACAGCCGTTGCACACGAGTCAGTCGATCCTAAGCCCTAGGCGAAAGCCGATGTTGATGCGCGGTGTAGCTTATGAAAAAAGTATATGAAATATATAATTATAAAGTATATAATATATTTTTTATTTATGAACACACCCGTCGGGCGAAAGGGAATCCGGTTCCTATTCCGGAACCCGGCAGCGGAACCGTCAAAAAGTCGGGCCCTCGTAAGAGAGTTCGTCGGGGTAACCCAAAAGGACCTGGAGACGCCGTCGGGAGATCCGGGAAGAGTTTTCTTTTCTGCATAAGCGTTCGAGTTCCATGGAATCCTCTAGCAGGGAGATATGGTTTGGAACGCGAAGAGCACCGCAGTTGCAGCGGTGTCCGGATCTTCCCCTCGGACCTTGAAAATCCAGGAGAGGGCAACGTGGAGGTGTCGCGCCGGTTCGTACCCATATCCGCAGCAGGTCTCCAAGGTGAAAAGCCTCTAGTCGATAGAATAATGTAGGTAAGGGAAGTCGGCAAATTGGATCCGTAACTTCGGGATAAGGATTGGCTCTGAGGATCGGGGCGTGTCGGGCTTGGCGAGGAAGCGGGTCACGGCTGACGTGCCGGGCCTGTGCGAGGCGAATTGTCTGATCCTGTAACAGGGTGAAGATTTGGAACCGAGTTCGGTCCCGTGCCTTGGCCTCCCGCGGAACCGCCTTGCTGCGAGGCTCCGGTATACCTTCGCGGGTTACCGGATGTCCTCTTCGGCCGCCATTCAACGGTCAGCTCAGAACTGGCACGGACTAGGGGAATCCGACTGTCTAATTAAAACAAAGCATTGCGATGGCCCCAGCGGGTGTTGACGCAATGTGATTTCTGCCCAGTGCTCTGAATGTCAAAGTGAAGAAATTCAAGCAAGCGCGGGTAAACGGCAGGAGTAACTATGACTCTTTTAACAGTCCTGACTGTTTTGAACCGTTCCGAACTGGTTCTGACTGTTCCGAACCGTTCCGAACCGTTCCTGACTGTTCCGAACCGCTCAGAACTGGTCCTGACTGTTCCGAACCGTTCAGAACTGGTCCTGACTGTTTTGAACCGTTCCGAACCGTTCCTGACTGTTCCGAACCGTTCCGAACCGTTCCTGACTGTTCCTGACTGTTCCGAACTGTTCCGAACCGTTCCTGACTGTTCCGAACCGTTCCGAACCGTTCCTGACTGTTCCGAACCGTTCCGAACCGTTCCTGACTGTTCCTGACTGTTCCGAACCGTTCCTGACTGTTCCGAACCGTTCCGAACCGTTCCGAACCGTTCCTGACTGTTCCGAACCGTTCCGAACCGTTCCTGACTGTTCCGAACCGTTCCGAACCGTTCCTGACTGTTCCGAACCGTTCCGAACCGTTCCGAACCGTTCCTGACTGTTCCGAACCGTTCCGAACTGTTCCGAACCGTTCCTGACTATTCCGAACCGTTCCGAACCGTTCCTGACTGTTCCGAACCGTTTCGAACTGTTTCTGACTGTTTCGAATCATTACGACTCCTTCGGAATCGTTCCGCACCGTTTTAAATGTTTCTAATTTAATTGACAGTATCTATTTAAAATTTAACCCCTTCAATTGTGTAAGGAATATATTGAACAAATTTTAGTAGTAAAAAATTAAATTCGATTACCACAATAAATGGGAAATATTAGCAGATAGAAATATTTAACCGTCCTACCGTCCATGTGGTCGGCCATAATGGTTATATATTCCAACAAACAAGCTTCCCTTTCGTTCAGCATTTTACGCATAATGTTAGAAAAAATAATTAGTATGAAAAAATACTGTTAGATATTAATGAAATATATGTTGAAGTACAATTTTAAAACATAATTGGAATACGATGTCTAATATAAACGCAAAATAATAATAGAACAATTTATCGAGTTTAATTGGTAGCCGCCATTGTAGAATTTAGAATACCTCCCTCTTCAACGTCGGCTCTAAACCCGGTACTTCGAGCTTTGGTCGGTAGAGGGCGCTGCGTACCCACGCGCCGCTTACGTCATTATGGTCGTGTTCGCCGTTAGTACGCTGTCCTGCTGCTGCTGACACACAGTTTTCACACGTTTCAACGCCGGCCATCTTCGTTTCGTCTGATCGACCGGTATATCGAAGATCAAATGACCCGTTAGATCCATATATCGATGAATTTAGTACATCAATTACAAGTACAAGTAAGGAAGTGTTGGATATCCAGTGCATTATCGTCTACTAAGTTGATTTTGGAAACAAACAATGGCGGCCCACGCCAATTAGGAGACGCCCGTCTACAATTTCATCAAAATAAGTGCATAAAAAGACATTAGAACTCGTGAACGTCTAAATTAAAGTGATTTAAAAGGCAATAATAATTAAACTGTCGGTTTAGTGTTTCGCCGTACCGGTTTAATCGCGTGTGAGAGAAGCCACCGCCGACGACGACCACCACGACCTAGACTACGACGCCGGCGACGACGACGACTACGACGAGGAGCAGGACTGCTCCAGTCGATTCGAGAACTGTTTAGTGTTTAGTGAGAGAAGTCGTCGAAGACGACGACGACGACGACGACCACCACCACCACCAACTCCACCACGACCTAGACCACGCCGGTGGCCACGACGACGACGACGACGACGACGGGGAACAGGAGTGATCCGGTCGATTCGAGAGCCGTTTACATATCGATATTTGCGGGTATTTACTTGTTTACCAGATTTTCTGTGCTTTTATTGTTACAATTTCTTCGTTCGGTTATTGTATTTGAATAAAGAGCTTTTCTTAAGTTGTTTTGTTATATTTTTTCATGCTTCTGGGGTCTAATATACAGAGTGAGTACAAAATAAGTTATTCTATAAATAAATAAATTACTGAAATAACAACAAATTGGTTTTATTAAATATCTTGTCGAAGGGTAACTGGAGTATAATATATATTATATTAATAAAAAAAAGAAATTTTACATCCCCCGGGGGGACCGCGGGGGGGGGGGTATGAAATTAATATATACGGGTGAAAAAAAAGACAAAATTTAACTAATGTCGCGCCCGAACCGGCCGCGTAAAGGTAGAGAGAATTGACGACTTAGAAAAAAAATTTTTGACAAAAAAAGCGCGATAAACGCGCTCAAAAATCGACTGACAAAAAAACCGCTCGTCGTATACGGGGGCGCGGGGCGACACGGAGCTTTTTTCAAAGACTCCGCGCGCTCCGCACGCACTTTGTGCATACGAACGAACGGTATATATATATTATATTATTCGTTTCGACCCGATTCCAACGAACGAATGCGTACGTGTAAAAATATACAATCATATTTTTGTATACGCTTCTCGTCGTCGTCGTCGAGCCAATATATGATATATTATAAAACATAATAAAAATACACGTATTTTTATTTGTAGAATAAAATAGGGGTCTCGTCTAATCGACAAGACGAATCCCCAAGCTAAGGGCTGAGTCTCAATAGATCGCAGCGTGGAAACTGCTCTACCAGGTACAACACCCCGCCAGGTACGTAAGTCGTCTACAGACAATTCCGAGTTCCAACATCGAAAAATTTGTAGGGTAGGGTAGGGTAGGGTAGGGTAGGGTAGGGTAGGGTAGGGTAGGGTAGGGTAGGGTAGGGTACACCCTGTAAATGGGTGGCGCTCATTGCACTCGATATTAAGAACGCGTTCAACTCGGCTAGGTGGAGTATTATAATAAAGAGACTTCGAAGGAAGAATGTTCCCCGATACTTAGTACGACTGGTCGAGGACTATTTGACGGATAGGAGTATATCACTGGATAAAAAGAACCAAATGTCGGTGCACTGCGGCGTCCCACAAGGATCAGTAATAGGACCCACTTTATGGAATATCATGTACGACGATGTGTTGGGGATTGAGCTTGGCGAGGGCTGCACAAGCGTGGCGTTCGCGGACGATCTGGCCCTACTCGTGGAGGCGGGGTCAAAGTCGGGGCTGATTGCGAGGGCTAACAGGTGTATAGAAGAGATAGAGGATTGGATGGAGGCGAATAAGCTGGAGCTGGCGGCCAACAAGAGTGAAGCAGTTATACTGAGGGGTTGTATTAGACGATCGGTACGCGAAACAATTAAATTCAAGATTGGCGAACAGAGTATCACGCCAAAGACAGTGATCAGATATCTTGGAATCCATATCGACCACCGCCTAAAATTCGGCGAACACATAAAGAAAGTGTGTGAGAAAGCGACACAAAAGATGACGAAGATGCAGGGAATCATGCCAAATGTGGGAGGGATGAGTAGCATGAAGCGGTACATCATTGGAAAGGCGGTGGAATCCATACTCCTGTATGGAGCACCCGTGTGGCAAGACGGAGCCTCGGTTAAAACATACAGACAACTCCTGTTAAGGACCCAGCGCAAAGTAACGTTGAGAGTAGCCAGTGCATACAAAACCGCGTCGACGGAGGCTCTACTTGTCATAACGGGGAGTATCCCAATGGACGAATTGGTGTATGAAAGAGCCGAAATCCACAAACATGGAAGGAGGGAGAAGGCACAGAAAGATGCAGCGAGGGAGGAGACACTCTGTAGGTGGCAGGAAAAGTGGGATGCCTTGGAGGACAGGGCTAAATGGACAAAGAGACTGATACCGGACTTGAGGCCATGGTATAGCTGCAAATATAGAAATGTCAATTACTACATGACACAGTTCCTGACGGGCCATGGGTCCTTCCATACCTACGTTAAACGTATTGGCAAAAGGGAGAGCGACTTGTGCACAAGGTGCGGACTGGAAGACTCCCCGGAGCACGTGATGTTCTTCTGTAGGAGATTCCGGAAGGAAAGGGAAGAAATGTGCCTAGAATCGGGCGTCGAACTGCGGACCGAAAACATAATAAAATACATGTTAGAAAGCAGTGAAAATTACAGGCGTGCAGCGCGATGGATCACAAGGGTAATGGAAAGGAAAGAGGAGGAGGATAGAAAGGAAAATTAGAGAGATCGGAGGGATACCC